AAAACCGCTCCAATAATCACTGACATTGTGTGGTGCATATATAGATGTAGATATAGATATAGTAGCTAACGAACAGCAACCAAGTGAAAAAAAAAACATAAAACTAAGATGGACTTCACCATTTTACAAGCTGCCAAGACTGCATGATCACCCGATGAAGTCGAGTCCGTGACTACCGTTCTCGCAGGAATCAAAGCTGCAGCTGCTGGTTGCAGAGCTATTGCTATAGCCATGAGGTGAACGTAAACTAGAGGCATTTCCAAGACACAACGCTTCACCCAATGGCCCTCCAGGTGCTGTTGAACTCATCCAAGAAACAGGGTTAAGCCACTGGGACCTCAAAACCTCATCGCCACTTCTCTCAGAATCCAACATCCGAATGCCCGCTTGTGCATGTTTGTTATCATCATCCATTCCCCCATTCCAACCAGACATGGAAAGTGTTAGCGAAGTAAAAGAGCCATTGCTGCTAATACCATCTTTTGGCCAAGCATTGCTAGTTGTTCCCCTGCCCTGTAACGAGGCAATTATCGAGTTGTTACAGTGTTCATTCTTTAACTGACTTGCCAATGCCTGGTCACTGCTGCTATTACACATGTACTGATTAAAGTTCATTGGATATAATTTGGGTTCATGTTGCACTTGAAATGCAGGTGAATTTCTTGTGTTGAATCCTATTGACTGCATGAGTTGCTTGTTACAATTATCATCGACAGGGATGGTTCCACATGTGTCTCCTCTCCCTAACCACTCAATACACCTTTCATATATAAACGCAGAGAGAACCAATTTATTTATAGGAACAAAAGACCCACACACGCAGATAAGATGAAACTTGAAAATTGCCCACCTGGTTTGGTCATTGGAAGGCTGCACAGTCGGAAACTGAAAAGAGTGTCTGTTGTTAGATTTTGGAGAAGGATTGGTGTGAATTTCCACAGGCTTTCTTGAACGGGGTTTGCTTTTGTGGGCATGTCGCTCACAATATTTCTGATCCGGAGCTACATCTCTTGAGCATCTCCATTTCTTCCCATCTGTTCTCTTACACCTCCATGGTTCTGGATCCGACCCACTTGAGAACTTCAAATCCACTACACATACATAACTAACAAAATTTAGACCAAAAAAAATAAAAAATACTCTATGACTAAATTTTTTTAAAAGAAAGGGATTTTTTACTGTTAGATTGAGGTGGAGATGGCAAAGGAAGGAGTAGGTGGGGCGGAACAGGCATAGATGCCATTATGTACTTGCATATTATGAACTGTCTTTGGAACTCCTGCAATTGGGAGGCTGTAAAAGGAACTTTTCCTGCAAAACAACCCACATCTTCAAAAATAAAAAAGAAAAACAGGCTAAAAGTTGGGGGTTTTGAAAACCGTACTAGCACAAGTGTTTGACGCCCCTGAGCTCACAACATCGCTCCCCACATATTTTTCGGGCCCACTACCGCCGCTTCCTCCATCATCAGCAGTCTCTTTCAAAAAGTAGGGATGAGAAGAAGGCGCCATGAACATGGTCCTTTTATTAGGGTACGAAACTTCACTGGTCTTCATCTTCAAATCCAGAAGCTCAGTGTTTTCTCCCTTTTCCATATATTTTCTCTTTGCCCCAACCCAATTCCAAACAACAAAATGTGTAAAGGCTACTTAGATAGAGCCAAAGCTGAAAAACTACTGTTTTGTTTTCCCAGATTACAGAGGCGGTTCAAGATTTGTTAGATTGGCTTAAGTTGCCGCCATTTCATAGTGAAAGAAATTTTACAAATATAACTTTACTATATCAAGAATATTAAAAATCTATATAATTTTTTAATTAAACTACTACAATACTATCATTAAGTATGGAGTAATTATTAAGAATAGAACTGAAATAAGTGGTTAGTTATTTAATTGACTAATTAATTTTAAATATTCGTAGCAAGTAATTCAAATTAGAGTAGTCTTTTATTGGGATGGACGAGAGTGGACGTTGTTCGCATGTGGAGGTTAATGCATTAATTCTAATCCCAGAACAAGATTTTTAGTTGCAAATAGAAAATCACATGAAACAGATTATCAATTTGGGAGTGGCCTAACCTACATAGTTATTGCTCCAACTACGGACTGTTTGGGACGCAATTGTTAATAAAGCCTTGTACAGAATTAAAGACATCCCCTCTGTCCTAAAAACATTTGTACCTTTTTACTATTTCCATTACAAATTTTTAATATTGACCAGCTCCATCCCAATTGTTGAAAGTTTAATCAAAAATTAATTATTTAAATATACATTAATTATTAATTTGTAATGATATAAATTTTAATATATTATCATAGTATATCTAATAAAAAAAAATTATATTTAATTATTAATTAATAAGACAAATAATGGGTGTAAACCGACGATTGATTGACCAAAGAGAGGAAGGGTTAAAAAAAGAAAAGATTAGACATGACATTAGTGTAAAGTACAAGTAGTAAAAGAGTCAACGGAGTAAAATAAAGAGAGTAGTTGGAGAGAAAGAAAGTTTAATTAATTGTTTTAATTTGATATTTTTTTAAAAAAAATTAAATTTTTAAAAAATAACTTATAAATATTTTAAATTTTAACTTTTTGCATATCCAACATACTAATTAAATTTCTTATAAATTGACCATATAAAAAGGAAATTGCGATGATTCAAAATAAATTGATGTAGTGTAATCAATAGTATGCTTTTTGTTATAGTATTGGGAAACGTTATTTTTGAGGTACAAGTGAGCCCTTAGATGAGGCGGGGACCAACATATGTCCACCTCAACATTTTGTGTTATTGCATTTTAAGTCCCTTCGTCTTTGAGTTATTGCATTTCATATTGCAAATTGCAATGGTCTAATGATTAAAATGTCATAATTCAGATTGTGTTTGAATTGTAGTACACTATTAGTTTTCTCTAATTAAATCTGTATTATAGTATTGAAATCGAATGCCATTACTGGTAATATTACAAATTCATAAGATCAAGAAAGAAAAAAGTAGTTTAAGTGGATACAAAACTTAGCTAATAGACAAACAGAAATTGAATACCTATAGATCATAGTACTGGTGTTGCACTTGTAAACGAAAATAAAATGGTAATTATAAAATTATATATAGGTAAATAGGATAATACCATACCAAGTGGATGCTAACTTTGATTACGTATTTAATATTTCAAATGTGATCTCTTCAACCATTTATCGTATATGCTAATATCTTCACAAGTTTCAATTTTTTTAACGATATTGTTGTTTAGCATTCTTGGTTGGTTAATTAGGTTACCTTAATCTGCTGGTCTTTCACTTTACAATTTCATTTTAAATTTTCTTCCACTTGATTTTGCGTTTTTCAATTTCAATTTTTGAATAAATGACAACCAATTTGATTTGATTTGGTTGGATAAGGCGATAAAAAAGTAACCAACTATTACGAAAAATGAGAAGCAATACGTGAAATCTCTTAAATACTTTTTTCATATTCAATTTACATGGTTGAATTAATGAACACTAATCAATAAAATACTCACAAAATAACAATATATTTTTAATGAGATAGTTAAAACAAATCAACAAGAATAATTTTTTACATCTAATATCAATAATCAAAATGAAATATAGATATATATTATGTGTTTGTTGATTTCATATACCAAGAATGAAATGTATTATACATCATTATAATGTATAGTATTAAATAATTCAAAAAAAAAATTTAAGTATTTTGATTTTTGTTTTTTAAATACCAAATAAAGTGAAAAAAAGAAGGAAGTAATAACTAAAATTCGAAACATATTGAAGTTAAATTGTCATTCTATTATATATAATTTAATTAATTATTTAATCAAATATAAATATTTTAACCACATAATCCCTTTGATAATTAAATTATTATGTTCTTGATAAATGAGAACATTAATATTGCTTTTAATCATGATTATAAATCTCATAATTTAAAAAGTTATGATTACGTACGATGTATGTTATTTATTAAATTAATAAATTTATGTTATCTTGAGCTTGTAGTTGTAAAAATTTTGCAAAAATTGAAGGGTTGACTTTTTATTATTCAATGCAGATTATTATATTTGTCAAATTCCTCCATATATCAACTCACACTTTTGCATTACTCTTCTTTTACTCAAACATACTTCCTTCTTCATGGTTAGGTAAATACATTCTACTGATTTTTTGTTCTCTTTCTCTTATTACAATTTTACATTTTCATTTTAATTTATTGATACCTTTTTTCCTAATTCTGTCTTTCCTTTATTTAATAGAAGTTGTGTGCCATCCATATTATAATGCAAAAAGAAAATTTTACTTTATAGTGTTTTCAAAAATAAAGATATAATTGTTGTTATGTATTTCAAGTTTTTTCTTTAATATACTATATACGGTTGAATGTTGATGTATGAATTGAAAGTTTCTCAATGAATTGCATGGATTATTGCGAGGTTAAACTCATTAGAAATACATATTCGTATTATGCTTTTAGTTTGATATTTGTGGGTATTCTTTTTCTTCTTTTTCATATCTTATACATGTCTTCCAATTTATATTACAATCAAAATTTTTTTTTTTTATGTGTACAACTAAATTTATAACTATAGACTTATATTATGCAACTATATAATATGGGATATATACACATGTCCGTCCAGATACAAATTCTCAAAATAACGATAAAGCTTGGAGTGGTTAGGCAGAATACGAGCCCAAATATAAAAGGCCCAAACACACAAGTTTAGGAGACCCGGCCCAATAAGGATCAAATTGGTTTCGAGTTCATAATGTTAGGTTAGAGTGTAACTATAAATTGTAATGAAAAATAAGATTGAGAAGCTGATGGTCACATATTTTGGTCCCAATAGAAGTGTAGGTTGATAAGTATTTCTAAATTGCAGTAACTAAATCATGATGCGTGTGGGTGCTTCTATCTTTTGTTTGTTTAATGATGAAACTAACAATGACAGTAGTGTTGTACGTTTTTATCCAATACATGGAATGATTAGGTGTCTGTCCTATGCTCTATCATTGCAGTATGTATGTATGTATGAGTTGTAACGATAATCATACAATTTCCAAGTGGTAAGATGATAAAGTTACAGAGAATTATACACAAAAAAACTGACGAATAGAAAATAGATTCTGTAGGCGTAACAGAAGGAAGAAGAAAATTTTGGATCGAGTAATAGTAGTATGTTATTATGAGGTTGTTAGAAGAGCATTGGATGGGATAGGAGGAGACTTTTGTTTGAGTAATAATCGAGCCTTTTGGCACTCCAACTTTGTGCTCCAATGTCTGCTTTTGGAACTAATAGCTCTCACAACCTTTGGGAATTCCACAAATCCTTTGATCCCTCGTTTGATGTGTGGATTTTCAGCTTCTTTGGAATGGTTTCTTCCATCGTGAAAATTACAAGACTTGGATTGCTCTGTTTTTAACCTTTCCAGTTCCAACAACTTGTCTTCCAATAAATATTTAGCCTCTGTCAGCTTCATTTGAACTCTTTCCTCCCTCATAACCTCAGCCACCCGCACCATTTTCCTCTCCTCTTCCATGTCTTTCCTCAACCCATCTATCTCTGCTTTATCCAACGAGATATGATTGGCAAGTTGTTTGCATACACGCTCCAACGCTTGTCTCCCTTTTTTCTCTTCACACAGCTCTCTAGCAATCTTCTTGTTCACGGTCTCCAACTTCTTACGCGCCTTGCGCTCATCTTCTACCTTGGCCTTCAATTCAGCAACCTCACAGTCCATAAAGGTGAGATCCCAAAAGGATGATGCAATTTTCCTAGCAGATATCGGGAGATTGAGTCGATGAATCTTGTGCTGTGGAAGAGGATTATTTAGTGAATTATAGAAAGGGTTTTCGTATAGTTTCCAGGTTGGACATATACAAGGAGGGATAATGTGATCCTCTAAGATGCCAATAGACTTATTATTTTCTTGCCTTCTCATCTTGTTCCAATTCGGGTGGGGGAGTTTCTTGCTTTTATTTATAATAAAACACCTTTGCTAGCAATAGTTGCTTTTTGGGTTAACTTTCTTGCTTTTGCTTTTAAGTAAGCAAGTAATAAATAGGAGTAGGGACATAATGTTGTGTCCTTCCAGCTACTGAAATTGCAAAAAGTAGAAAAAGATGTTAGGTGCCCTCCTCCATTTTATGTCTTCTTCAACATTTTACAATATAGCTTTTCACATGGAATTTGGTTGTGATGTTTCTCATCTTAATTAGAAAAACACTGCATATCCCAAGAACCATAGGATACCATACTGTTACAATCATTAACAATTTTCAATTCCTGTACATAACAAATTAAAAAACTACAATGTATTAATAATGATCTAGTCTTACCAACTAGTGTTATTTTTTTATGACAAAAGGAGGTGAGATGGATACATGAGCAATTTTATCTTGGTCAAGTGGGCATGTAAGGAAGTGGTGAAGTCATGATTATGCTCAAAATTTAATAAGTACTAGTAATATACATGAAATAAAGTTAACATTTAACATACATACAGAAAATGATTTCTCATTCATTCGACATACATAACATCGACTTTGATGTAGGGTAATTTTGTCTAATCCAACTAAGGATGCTCTGTCCTATAGAGCTTTTAGCAAGAAAAAGGTAAAGACATATGGTTATAGTGAGTGAGGGGTCCAAATAGTTGTTTTATGATAGTACAAATTGTTCCACATGGATGGTCTCCCTTTGTGTTTTCTCTTCATTCTGTCGTCTTCCTTCATTAGCACTTGGCTCTATCACACCAATACTTGGGCAATAAACTTGCTGGATGTATTCTCTGCAACGCCATAATTTATTGTCCAAAAGGAATACTGATCATAATATAATGCACATGGTGGAGTTGATTAATGGACCACTAAAGAACTGCAGTAGCAACAATTGGTGCCTAATTAGATTGAAGAAAAATGAGTGATTATGTCTTTTCTTCCTATACTAAAGTATTAAGTAATTATAACCCAAAAATGTACCTAGATATGATATCTATGATCAAATGTTAACAGAATGAAGTGGACAAAAATGAACAAGGCTATAAATAACAAAGAAGATTGGGCACACTCACTTTGTAACATCCATTGAGAACTCTCTACTGTAAGGGATTAGGATATGTTCCCTAAAGCAATTCATTGTTCATCTCCACAAAAGTAGTAGTGTTACAACAAAATAAGAGGTCAATTTTCATATTTTAATGTGTAACACTGACATAATTCTAAGCAGGACGGCCATCTACATTACATTTGAAGCTATGTGTAATAGACTTCCATCAGTGCTTATAAATATGAAAGCGATAGTTAAACAACAACTATCAAGTGATTCTCAAATCATCAATCATTATCCATTGAGTTTATCATGGTCATCTTCCAGTGGTATTGAAAACTTTGGTGTTGATTTAACAGTTAAACTAATTGAAACAAGGATAAGATTTAAGTTCTGTTCATGTGCTCAAGAAAAATAGAGTTACATGTCGTACAGGAACAAGTCCTATGAGTTGAATTGAACAAGAAAATAATCCAAATTCAACTTTGATAGTTGGCAACTTAAAGCATGCGTAAGTGATTCTAATAGAGCAGATTATATTCATTTTCCCAAGATAAATGTTTCATTTTTCGAGTGTTGCCTCTTAGTTACTTACTGATTTATGATTCTACAAGAAATTCATTGTAATTGCTGGCTGAGTATTCAATTTGGAATATGTGAATAATAAGTCTGGAAATTCATACCAAGGGTCTTAACATTCCTAGGAAACCACCAAGGAATTCCTCTTGCTTACATGCATAGAAGGACCTAAATGTGTAACCTTCATTTTACAATTATGTTGAGCTACCACGGGACCATACTGATTTCTTGATCCTCATCTTCTGCTACAACACTTACTTTAGTTAATAAATTATGTGACTCCATCCACTACTACTTTAATTTGGTGCGGATAAGAAAGCAAGGGCCCCAACTAGTGGAGCATTAATGTATGTAGCAGGCTCCGATTGCTGATAATTGTTCCTGTCATCTTCAAAGTTATCTCTACTATCAGGACCACCCACGATGGCTCCAATGAGAACGTTTGGATTCGGCGACCCCGAATTCAAAGACTGGAATCCATCATTGCAGCCAATGTGACCAGGATGTGCATGCACTGATGGTAGAGATGAACCTCTATGGTGCACGCGAAGTGGATACTTGTCTCCAAAACCAACCATGTACGATATTTTTGCTGGATTATCTCCTAATATGTAGTCCACTTGTTTCTTTGCAAGCTCAACGAGCCTCTCTGCAGGAAATCTTGAACTCCCACATGACACATCCCCTCCATTTGACCTCAAGTATTTGGCATAGGTTAATAGGAGAAACGATGAAGATGTCACGTATTGGAGATTACTTCCACTTCCTTTGTATAAAAGTCCTCCTGTACACACATATGGATCCATTGATACATATATATTATAGTTTCACTATTTCAATTTATGTACCGACCTGGGGTATACTGAGCTTGAAAGCTAGGTGAGCCTGGAATCAATGAGCAGATATAGTTGTCTGAGTGAACTTTGTATGCTTGGAATTCTTGACTACTCTTCTCCAAAAAGTCCTATGTAAAGCAGGGGGAAGATAAGAAGAGAAAAAATTAAAGTTGAAGGGGAAAAAAAAAGAAAAAAAAAAGGAACCTTTGATAGTATAATTTTGGTTCCAGGTCTCTTGTCATCCCAACTGAAGGAGTAGTCATCATCATTAGCACCCATAGTTTGACCATTGGATTGGATATAAGCAAGATAAGAAGAGTCTTGTGAAGCTCTATGAAGCCATGATGCTCCCCATAGAAGTTCATCCTGAATAAAATTTCATAATGTATTTAGTATGAAATTTAACTAGTGTTTATTCACTCTAAAATTAAGTCTTACATTGTAACCAGAATAAGAGCAGTAAAATGGGCAGACCACTGAACTGAGACTGTCACTATAGGAACCTCTATACTTGTCTGCAAAAGCAAACACCTGCAATATAATATTGCAAACATAAATATATATGTATATAGCACAAAATACAAAATGTATAATATATGAATTACCTTTTGTGCAGTACGCAATAATGACGAGGAATAAGAAGGGTCAGAATCTTTGAACACAATAGAGGCAGCAGCCAATGCAGCAGCAGTCTCAGCAGCAACATCAGAACCTGGATTTTGAGGGGACACTTTGTACACGTTGCGAGGCGTATCCATGTCCTCAGGTCTCTCCCAACACCTGTGATCTTGGTTGGGGTCTCCTACTTGAACGTATAACGTGTCGGGGCTAGCTGTGGCTGCTTTAAGAAGATAATCGCTACTCCAACGAATGGCTGCTTTTGCATTGTTAAGTTGGCTATGCATGGAGCTCCCAAATTCGATGACACTCCATGCTAGTAGAGTTGTGGTGAAAGCCATTGGCAATCCAAACTTAACATTGTCCCCTGCATCATAATATCCTCCTACTAGATCAACCTAACAAAAACAAAGAACAGAGTTAGTCTTACAATGATTAAATTACACTACAACTTTGTAGTATATATTTGAGAATTACATGGTAACCGGAACCATCAGATAAGCCAGAATCAGCCCTCCACTTAAGGCGTTGATTCGCAGGCAATTTTCCGGATCTCTGTCCCTCAAAGAAACGAATGGATTTGTCAAGAGCATTAGAGTAGTCTTGAGAAGTGAAGGCAAAGGCAAAATTATGAGAGAGATTAAGTAAGGTGAAGCATAGCATGAGCATGTTTAAAGAAGCCTTATTAGCATGAGCATGAGCCATTTCTCAGCTTATGCTTGTAAGTTTTATACCTGTTTATATAGAGTAGTCGTTGGTAGTTGAAGAGTTCGTTGGTCTATTAGAAAACTATTTTTTTTTTTAAAAAAATATAAATAATAAGTAGATAGTTCAATTCACGGGATCAACTGCGACAAACAAGACGAATTTATTGAGTTAAAAAGAGACTTATCTGCTTTGACATAAAGTCAATAAGGACAAGAAAAAGACTGTTCAATCTCGTGATTAAAAAACACATTTTCTCTCTTCACTTTGAATATATATTATACTATACCACAATTCACGGCGACGATAAAAATGTGACTTAGCAAAACTCACAAATCACACTGGTTGAAACTTGTTTTGATTACCAAAACTCAACCTCCCAATTTAGTTAGCGAGATTAAATCTTTTTGATAATCTCTACCCCATATAAAAAGGACAAGCCATCTTTTAAACTTCCATTCGGTATCTGCGACCGCATTTTCGAATGAAAACATACTGACTAAAACATGTAGCCTCATGAACCAAAATGGATACTTTGTCAGAAAAGAGTGTTGTTTTGGCGTTTTAGTTTTGTAATTTTCCTGTCACGAGACTTTGTTCAACAACACTTTGGGGAAAAAAAAAAGATTTTGGCTGGCATAACTAACCTCTACATTCATAATAATATTCATGCATGTGACCAATTTTATTACTAAGAAAAACATACACAAGTCTCTAAAATCTTTATCTCTCTCACATGCTTTTCTCATCTATCTATCTATACCCTCACACAAGTTTTTCTAAACAATTCTGGTTTACATTTAGGTTAGCATGTGCCTACTTTGATTATTTTACGGTACCTTTACTATTTTGAACATACAATACACGACCTTATAATTTTAACAAAAGTAGTTATATATGAATTAATAGAAAAGGTCAAAAGTGATCACCAATCTTATACAGTACTGGCTTTGTAAGAATGATCTTCCATGTGGCTGATTATCTTATTTGTCAACTAAAAACCTGAATTAACAGGAAAATGTCCACCCACTAAAATTAATTTTTTTGGACTTGTTATAACTATACTATTCCAAGTAGTTAAAGAAATGTAGCCCCGTGCTTCATTTTTAATTAAAGACAGACTCATTTCAGAGACCAATTATAGTAAACACTTGTTTCATCTTCCATAGTAACTTTAACATACTAATTTGCAAACGTACTTTCTCTCTTTCACGGGAATTTAAGAAAATAAAAAGAACTTTTAAATCGTATAGTCTTAAATTAAAATCATATCAAATATACTAAATTGTCCATTAATTTTGTGACTTTAAATATGTCACATGAAAAGTTGAAAGTAAAATATTACCAAAAAAAGAAAGAGATTATGATTCTTTTTAAAACAGACTAAAAAAAAAGGAGGTCATTCTTTTTTAAACGGAGGGACTAATAAAATTATGATGACAAAACATCTTAACCCATCCTCGCCGATCTCTTAAACAAAATCTTAATTCATTTTCTTGAACAACCTTTTACCTTCCATTAGGTAGGAAGGGGACATTGATCTTTACTCTTTAGTACAAGTTCTGAAATTATTGTAACACGTCCATCACAGGTTAATTTTGTTAGGGTTTATTCCCATTATATTTTAAGTTTTATTTTAAAAAAAAGTCTGGAGTATCACCATAAATCTTTAATTTCTCTTTATTTTTAGTTTATTCTTTTTTTTAGAGGAAATGTTTTAAATTGGGGACCCATCTTTTCATATTTGTAGAAACCTTACCTCAGAACACGAACCGTTCGTGTAAGTTGTTTTTAAGTAAAGACAGAATAGAAACACAAATTAAAAACCTTCCTCACTCAAGGAAGGAAAAACCTCGTTTTATTAATTCAACTATAAGATTTTGTGATTACAACTCAATAATCAAAAGTCTTATCTCTACTATTCCCTCGATTGACTCCAATCAATCTCACCAAAAGGCCAAACCCACCTTTTGTTACAACTCTTACTAACACTCAACCCTACAAAGAGCCAAACCCACCCTTTGCACAATAAACTGTAAACTACAATTAAGAACAAAAAAAAGACCAATAGTTCTTCGCGATAAAACCTTCTAACTCAAGAATGTTTTGTCCGTGGCAATCAATCTTGAAGACCTCAGTTTGATGATTAATTCCCTCTTGTTCTCTGCGTGAAGTCGTGGATGTTTTCTCTGTCTCGTGTGCTTCTTATAGAGTTTTTGCCTTGTACAATCCCTACTAATAAGGTAAGAGAGTTATGTTTAAACAAGGATTCTTTTTTAAATTAGAATCCTTATTATACACAACTTCCTTCCTTAATAATATATTTAAGGTTTTCCTTATTTATATTGACTTGTACCTTTAATATATTATTTTGACTTTGACAAATAACTCTATTTTACTGATCTTGGACTTCTTTCGCTGCGTACATTTTCTACTGTTCTTTGCGCTTTTTGTCTATCATCAAAACGAATTAACGATTCTATCACATTCTATCAATATTAATAGAATCCACAATATGATCGTTTAGAGAATTTTATTTATGGCGAGATTTTCTCACGATATATTTAATATAGATTTTCTCCCATTGTATGAATGTTTTGACTGTAGTAGAAATTGATAAGAGACCCAGAACTCATGAAATGAATGTAGTAGATGTCTGATAATAATTGTTTATGAGGGAAGACGCATGGGTTCGAACCCCATAGCCAGCAATTCTCTTTTTAGTACTAATTGTTTCTATTTGCTAACTAAACATGACTTGAGAGTTTGGATTTTGTTGTGTTGTTACAACACACACAACTAGGGGATGTAGCTCAGATGGTAGAGCGCTTGCTTAGCATGCGAGAGGTACGGGGATCGATACCCCGCATCTCCACCTAATCCTTTTTTATTTGCTTTTGAGTACCATGAAAAAGCTACCACCCTATTGATTTTCCTTTACAGTACCATGAAAAAACTACCCATTAACGGGAAGAGCAGTCTCTCCCTACAAAGCTAAGTTAAGTTCATTTTTAAGGCGGAGGTAAGGGTCAGAAGAAGTATTCAAATATAAGCAAAACTTCCAACTGCTATTCAAAGTTACCCAGAATCACCAACAATGATAAATTGTAGCATATGATCGATCATCCAAATAATTGAGTGTCTTCAAGCTTTCATCTTATTAAAGGAAGGAGAGTTGATAAACTTTAAAGAGTCAAAATTGACTTTAAGTTCACATTACCACCTCCCATCATATAGCAAAACAATACAAAAAAACTTAACTTCATTAAGCAAGTCATGAAATACATCACAATGGAATCAGAACAAACAACTAGAACCTATGAAAACTATTTTGATGCCTCAAAAGGAAAAGTATCCACTGGACTCTCATTAGAACAATCTACTCAGTAGCTTCCACGTGTTTCGCGGCATCAGCTTCTTTCAGCCTTTCCAAAGTAGAAATGCGACCATTAAGAGATTCATAGACATCATTCATCTGGATCAAAGAAAATAGTGAATAGATGTAGATAACAGAGAGACTCCAGCTGAGGTAACATGTTGCAGTTCAGATTGAAGGAAAAGATGCTTGAAGAAATTGCTCTTTTAGTCCATATTGATTAATCACCAAGTTTCATTTTGGCCTTTCAAAATAGTACTCTATCTTTTCATTTTTTGCAACTTCCCATATCATTTACAAAAGAGTTTCATGGCTTGTCATCTTTTGGCAGCAATACATAAGGCTTAGCAAAGGAACATGAGAAAGAGAAAATTCTCAACTTATACTCCATCCATCCTAATTTAAGTGTCTTAGTTTGACCGAGCACAAAGTTGAAGAAATATTGGGAGAATTTTTAACCTTGTACTCTTAAACTTGCCATGTTGAATGTTGGATTTGGGAAACTTGCTAAATATAGAAAAGAGACGCTCTTTTTTTGGGACGTTAAAAAGGAAAGTAAGACACTTAGATATAGAAAAGAGGGCTTCAGCAACTATTTGTAGCAACATCTCATAGATCTATGGAACATGATGAATGTCGATTTCATAGGTATAAAGTTGATGCTAGAAAAATAATCATTTTCCCTCTATTTAATGTTCAAGGAAACACAAGAATGGTAAATAGATCATTTAATACAAATTGCAGGACAAGAATGGTAAATAGATCATTTAATACAAATTGCAGGATTTTAAGGGTCAAGCTACAGTTTAGTTGCAACCACAAAAACTTAACCACCCTCGATGTTCACACCCAACCAATGAAATGTAAGACATATATCCTTTATATAAGGATTTATCACTTAACCATGATTAAGTAATATGTATCATCACATTTTGTATCTCTTAAAGTTAAATTGCTTAGGGTTGTGCAAGCATTAGGTTCAAATTACCATCTTTTACCATCACTTCTGCACTTATTTTGGGCATCAAACTTTCACAATTCTCTTGACCATTGAAATGATCCTTACTAGACCTACTAGGGTTAGAAACAGAGAAGAAGAGATGTCCTATGAAGTTAAGAATTAGTAGTAGTAAACTTTGGGACAAAGGGAAGTGAAATTAAGAAACAAGAATAAAGCCTCGAAAACATGTTATGAAAGTTTATCTGCAAATTAACATTAGTGGTTCTAAAAGAAAGTGGCCAAAGGAATTCAATAAATGGCCACATTTGTAAAAGGAAAAAAAAAAGATGTATATATACATAAAAATGGAATCATGTTCCTTCTCTATTCGTTCTTTCCTCTAAAGTTTTAGTTACCACTAGCTAATTTTACATTTCCACTCTTTACCATACTAAATTGATGCTACTCCATACTGATCATTCCTACATCATGTCATTATATACTACCATAATCCTTAAATGATCAACTGATCTTAATTCCATAATGACTTACTCAATCTTCTTTCAGTTATCATTAGGATCCTAACTAATATTTGTTGTACCCGTTCTACTAAACCAGCCAAAATGACTAATTTAATTTCCTGTTTGTTTTTGTTAGGATCCTAACTAAAATCTGTTGTCATATGCTACTGAACAATCCAAGAATAAGTCTCTTCACGCATCGCCAACTTTGGTACTTGCCTTGAAGCACCATTATCTCAATCCCTAGGTAAACAGGCTTAGTGTCATTGGCACTTGAACAATTGAATGAAGCCGCCCATATCAAAATAGATAACCATTATAAGATAACCCATATTTAAGGATGTCAAACATATCAACAGTAATAGTCGTGCTTTGACAGCATGGTGATTGATTTTGTTGAAGTATATAACATTCTGACTTAGAAATGAAAACTGCAATTTGCTAATTTTTACCACTAAAAAGGGCACAGGTTCACCAATTACACATAGATTACTGTAGCTAAAGTTTGAAGAACATACTCCATTTGGGACCAATATGCTCCAGGCCACTAGCTATGTTACATCAAGCTACAACTAAGTACAGAACCCGTAATTGTTGCAAACACTAGAGAAGAATAATATGTTGACTGGCAATTCTTCCAACAGCTACCTTATATCATAATTTCTCTCACTAAATTAAACAGAAGAGTTATTTCCATGGATTTTGTTCATCAACACTCGGGTAATGTAGAAAATTTCAACCTAATTTGATTTTGTAAGGGCAGCCCATAGCACAATTTGAAGTCAGGAGAAAAAAAACATTATTTCAATGAATATCTATAGAGAAGTCCACTTTAATTCCAAACTATTTTTTTGAAATCAAACACAAGACGATATAAAAATACAAATAAAAAGGAACCTGGTGAGACATGGCATGATGGGCAGTTTGGTAATCCTTGTGGAGAAGGTAGAGACCGCCGGCCGATGCCACAGCAGCACCGGCGAAGAAGGCTGCAAATCTGACCCTTAAAACGTACCCCATTTTTTCTGAATCTGCACTGCCACTCTTTACGATGTTGGTATTTAGGGAAAGAGAAACGATTTTTTTTTTTCTGAATCTCCGCTTATACTTTCTTTTTCATAAATAAACACATTAATTGCATATAATACAATTTCTTTTTTTTTTAAAAAATAAGAGATAATATAAAAGTAGAGATAAATATAGTGCATTGACTTATTTCTAAATTTAACACACACTCTAATTAATAGGGGGAAAAGAAGAAAGAGATCACTACTCAAAATATTATAAGTATAACTCGTTTGTAGATATGAATAATGTAAAAAGAAAATCACAGAATAGTATAATAATTTTTAGTCGATGGCTTATGAATATTATATATATAATAGCTTCATGTAAAATTAATTTGAAGAATATTTCAAATAGAATATGAATATTAAATTTTTCTTCCTCATAAAACTTTGTTGTAATAGAATTGTTTGTTCAAAATATAATGATTTTTGCTTGGGATAATGGTATATAATAGGAAACTAATAATCTAAAATAAATAAAGTAGCTACGGTTTGATTTAATTGTGCTCCATAGCAAACGTTAGTCAAAGTTTGCCATTCGCCTCTCTCCCAAAAATCTCGTTCGCCACTCTTCCTCTGCTCGCCTCTCTCGCTTTATACACAGGAGTGTATAAAATCTGTTTCTGTTTTGTATAAAGCGAGAGAAAATTGTATATACACATGCAAAAACATATATCTTCGTGTTATACACTTAATTATACAATTTACAAACATTTTACTTCAATTCAATTGTAGACAAATGTAAATTTTATACAAATATTGCAACGAAAAAGGCCAACGAATTATACAATTGTGAATCATACAATTACAGAGAAATACAATTTTCTCTCGCTTTATACAACATAAGTGTATATATTGTGTTTTTGTTTTTGTATAAAGCAAGAGAAAAACATATATCTTCTTGCCATACACTTATAATTATGCTATATAGATACATTTTAATTCGATTCAATTGTATGCAAAGCAAATTTTATAAAAATATTGCAGCGAAATAGATAGCAAATTATACAATTGTGCATTATACAATTGCAATGAAATAGGATAGCGAATTATACAATTACAGCGAAATAGACCAGCAAATTATACAATTTAGGCCAGCGAATTATACAATTGTATATGTATATCGAATTATGTGGTTTTATGTTTGCAATGGAGCGTAATTATATAAACTTTGTTATAATATATAAATATAAAATTTTTGTTTGCTATATGTGAAAGTTGTCCTTTTTGCTATCCTAAAGAAAAGAAATATAAATAGTTGGGCTTAATATCTTGGATTTGGACAGGTAGAGGCCCGTCTTTCCAAAGAGCCCAGTTTTTACTTTTGAAAAAATGAATATGTAATACTAACACGTGGCAGTTGGAAGTCCATTAAGGAGGCTCTCCACAACAGCCAACTACTTGCAGTTTTTTTATTTCCATTTAACTTATTGTTAATTATGATTAGCTATAGAATGCTTCTACTTTCTTTGATTCCAACTCAATTATATACTAAACACAAATGTAAATATTGTTTCGATAAAAGAAATTTATGTAATAGTTAAAACTATACTAAATATAATAGGAGTATACCCATTAATTAAACCCACAAAAGAAATAAGAAACCAGCTCATTATTAGTTGTTGATAGGTTAGGTCTCTAAGGAAACAGTTTATTAGGCATCATATATACCCTGGCCAATAGTTCATCACTGCATGCATGGCATTGCCCATTGGGCATTATGTATTCCCAACATCCAACAACACCTCATTCATATTATTCAATTCAATCTTCTTCATCCTTTATTTTTATATATAAATATCAATCTGTATACTATTAAGTTTTAGGATATCATGATCAAAATCTACCTGTTTCCATCATTTTCTTTGAACTTTTATAAAAAATAATTATAAAAGAAAATTTTCTTTTGATCAGAATAATAAATAACATATTTCATGCTGTGTTATTTTATTTTTTAAATATTTTTACCCTTTTAACTTTAATACATTTTACTTAAAAATGAAAGGAAAAAAAAAAAGAAGATCAATTTATTTTAAAATAAAAAGGATATAAAAAAACTTTTGAATTCTCTAACTAAATTCTGCCCAATGTTTATGCCATAGCCTTACCCGTTGTAAAATTGTGACAATGTTGTTACGTATAATTAATTAGGTTGCAGTTGCATGCATGGTCCAAGCTAGCTAGTAAAATCAACAATGTAACCCAAAAAAAAAAAAACTTTTTCTAATGATCTCTGATACTCTTCTTGAAAAGTGGTGTAAAATTGATCAATTTAATTAAATACAGCAGAGTTGACTTTCTGTCATTATTATTATTAGGCATTATGCCATGCCAGAAAGTATTCTTATTTTGACTTCTTACTGTATCTGCATTTATTTCTAATATCTTTTTGGTGCGGGAAAATAATTATGTACTCGTAACATCGACTACTGACATTAAAATTAATCAAATACTATATATTGTTCGATAGAGAGGAACCATAGTGAAAGAAATTGATGATAGATTAATTAAATCATGTCATTAATTACTTAAGCAACACGCTAATGCACACTTATAATTTCACCAAGATGAATTAGCTCTATGAGCTTGGCTTAAAAGTCTTTAAGTTGTTAACGCCTTATGTAGGTACAGGATAAATAAAATACACTTAATTGGGACATGAAAAGTCTAAGGAACTATGGATGTTAAGACGTGAAAGATCTTTTTATTCTTAAATTAAATATAGACTTTAATTACTTTGAACCTATGAATAAAAGAAACTCCTATATATTAGACAGTCCATTCTTAATTCATCTAACGAGTCCTACTCGACGATGATTATGAATTTTGGAACCAAATAGCTAATTAAGTACACTAGTTGATCTACAGACATATAAATAGGTATAACCTACTTGATGGAGATGAAAAGATTACCAAAAATAACATAGTCGACGATCATTGGTGAATTTCAGTGAATCATTTAATTATATGAGAACGATTGAAGTCGATGTCATGTATGTACAAGCTAAGGTGGAATGAGTACATTTAATTAGGGCATGCAATGTTGTAATGAACTATACAAATTATATGTTATTACGTACCATAACTTTCTATTCTAAATTACAGATTTTAAATTGAGTTTGTGAGTATAAAAAAATTCTAGTTGATGATTCTTTATCCTTCTAAAGAGTTCCAGTTCAATGAAAATTCAAAAATTATTCAAGCTAGTTGATATATTGAAACGGGATAGTTAATTAAATACTAGCTAGCTAGCTACAAACAAATAAAGATGTATCAACTATGTTAAAACTTGTTCACCATTCATGCTTGAGCTTCCATGATCATAACAATGAAGTTAGAAAAAGGAAGAAGAAGAAGAAGAGAAACAGTTGCAGAATTGCAGTAACAGAATTGAGAGGAAAATGAAGAAAGTGTGATGAGTGAATTGAATCAACCACCTTGTATTGTATGGAGATCATGTATTTATACAAGAAGAGAATCAAAATATCTAACAAACTCATCTAACAAACTAGTGGACTGAAATAACAGAATTAGTTAACTAACTAACTATTCTAACTAATTAATTGAAATGGCTGAGCTAACTAAACAGTTATATACAATTAATTAACTAAATCTTAACACCCCCCCTCAAGTTGGAGGTGTGGAGAACACAGACAACTTGTTAAGTGCTGCAGAATGCTTGATTCCAGTCAATGTCTTAGTTAACATGTCTGCCAGTTGGTTATCAGTACTTATGTGATGCAATGATATGAGCCCTGTCTGAAGTAAATTCCTCACGAAGTGACAATCAACTTCAATGTGCTTAGTGCGTTCATGAAACACTGGATTTCGAGCCATATGAAGGGCTGATTGACTATCACAATATACTTCTATAGGTCTGCGTAATGGCAGTGTAAGTTCAGTGAGCAATCTGCTGAGCCAAACTAGTTCTCCTGCAACTTTCCTCAAGGCTCTATACTCTGCTTCTGCTGATGATAGGGATATGATCTCTTGTTTCTTGGACTTCCAGCTAAGTGGACTGTTACCCATTAATACAATATAGCCACTTACAGACCTCCTAGTATCTGGACATGCAGCCCAGTCAGAGTCACAGTAAGCTCTGATGTTGTAAGACTGATCTTTGGACATAAAAATTCCTAGTGTAGGATCTGCCTTAAGGTACCTCAGTAAATGAAATGCTGCTTGTAGATGTGGCTGTCTAGGATCTTGCATGAATTGGCTGAGATGTTGCACAGTATATGAGATGTCCATTCTAGTGTTGGTTAAGAAATTCAGTTTTCCAATGAGCTTCCTGTAGAAAAATGGTTCTGTTAAAGGTGTTCCTTCCTTTGCATGAAGTTTGATTGTAGGATCAAGTGGAGATGAACAACTGCTCATATTTCCAATCTGGTAGTCCTTCAACATGTCAAGAACAAATTTTCTCTGAGAAATGATCAGTCCATCATTTTTATACAATACCTCCATTCCAAGAAAATAGTGCAGTCTCCCTAAATCCTTGATTTTAAAATTGTCATGAAGAAATGCTTTGAGGTCATTGATTTCAGAAACACTTGTTCCAGTTAAAATCACATCATCTACATAGACAGCAACAAAAATAGTGGAAGTCTCAGACTTTTTATGGAACAAGGAATAGTCATTCAAAGAATGTGTGTACCCTTTTGAATATAAAGCTTCAGTCAGCTTGGCATACCACTGCCTACTTGCTTGCTTCAAGCCATATAAAGATTTATTCAATTTGCATACCAATCCTGGTTTATGTACTGCTAACCCTGGAGGAACTTCCATGTACACTTCTTCATGTAAATCTCCATGCAAGAAGGTATTATTCACATCAAGTTGAAATATATCCCAGCCCTTCTTCACAACTACTGCTAACAAAGCCCTCACAGTTGTCATCTTGATTACTGGTGAAAAGGTCTCTGTATAATCAATCCCAGCCTCTTGAGTATAACCCTTCACTACAAGTCTTGCTTTGAATCTCTCCACAGTTCCATCAGCTTTATGCTTCACTTTATATACCCATCTACATCCTATGGCCTTCTTACCACTAGGCAG